TTGTCAAATTCGGGCTACAAAAGGGTCAAAACAGAGTTTGAAGTTATTGCAGCGACCATATCGCGATATTACCTTCCATATCGCGATACGGGAGAAAACGAAGCAGAGAGCTTGGATTTTTGCCATATTGCGCGATATGCCATTCCATATCGCGATATGGGGAGAAACGAAACAGAGAGCTTGCAATTTTACCATATCGCCCGATATTGCTGCTCATATCGCGATATGGGCCTTGGGATGCGTAAAAAATATCTTAAAAGGCAAAGCATATTATAAATAGATCCCTTGTGTCATTTAACAAGGAAGGACTTCTTCGCCGAATTCACTCTTCGACTTCTTCTTCGGTTTTCTCTTCGGTTCTCGCCAGTTCTTCGCGGGAAGTTTCGACGAGGGTTTCGACTCGGGTTTTTCATAAGCTTTATCTTTACGTTTAGTTTATGATTTCTCGTGTTCTTCATTTGGATGCTATGTTTGTAATGAACTAAGCATTTTCTTTTAGGGGAATGAAACCTTGTATATATTGATTTTAATTTCCAGATCTGTGATCTATTTGTCGTTCTTTCATTCTGTTTATGTTTTCCTGTATTAAATGCTTTCGATTGTTTGGCCAACAGTTGAATTGATTGTAAATGGGAATGAACTCGAGAGAGGATTTCTCGTTTGATTTTAGGAAAACATAGCTCGGGTTGTGGAAACGGAGACGTGATGCACCTCGGGTAGCCCTTAAGGACTTGACCTAAATGCTCTCTTAATATCAGGTTCTGAACGGAGACGTCGGACCTGTGGGTAGACTCTAACTACACTGGAGACGGGGGTTAAGGTATTTTAGTGTCTGGGTTAGCGAATATTGAATTGACATTAGATTCGGATTTGTAGATCTTTATCGTGGGTAGTAGTAACAAGCAAATTGCCTTCTCGTGGGAGTTTTCTCGCAACGAGTTTGTAGGACCGAGCGAGTTTGCTCCTCGTGGGAGTTGCCTCGCAACGGGTTCGTAGTTCCGAGCGAGTTGACTCTTCGTGGGAGTTGTTTCGCTGCGGGTTGTAGGACCGAGCGAGTTGACTCCTCGTGGGAGTTGCTTCGCTGCTGGTTCGTAGTTCGAGCGAGTTGACTCTTCATAGGAGTTGTTTCGCAGCGGGTTGTAGGACCGAGCGAGTTGTCTCCTCGTGGGAATTGTCTCGCTGCTGGTAATACCGAGGGAGTTAGCTGCTCGTGGGCGTTGTCTCGCAACGGATTTGTAGAACCGAGCGAGTTTGTTCCTCGTCGGAGTTGTCTCACTGCTGGTTCGTAGTACCGAGGGAGTTGGCTCCTCATGGGAGTTGCCTCGCAATGGGTTTGTAGGACCGAGCGAGTTTGCTCCTCGTGGGAGTTGTCTCGCTGCTGCTTCGTAGTACCAAGGGAGTTGGCTCCTCGTGGGAGTTGCCTTGCAACGGGTTTGTAGGACCGAGTGAGTTTGCTCCTCGTGGGAGTTGTCTTGCAACGGGTTTGTAGTTCCGAGCGAGTTGACTCCTCGTGGGAGTTGTCCCGCTGCCGGTTGTAGTACCGAGCGCGTTGTCTCCTCGTGGGAGTTGTCTCGCAAGCCCCCCACTCTCGAGTCGATGTGGGAGCCAAGTTGAAAAGGGGACCTGATCGTGTTGAGAGTAGATCGGTGTTGTTGTGTTCCGTTAGTCATTGGCGTGGCGTGGAGGAATAAATTTTTTTATTTTCTCTGCGAAGAGAGAGCGCTATTGGGTGGGGCGCGTTTAAATTCCCGTGCGATTATGTCATGCGCAGTGGAAGTTGCGCCAGATTAAGTGAGTGGAGGGAGGGGCACGCGCGAATTGATATTCGTAGGACCGAGCGAGTTGTATCGCAACGGCTGTGGAGCGACAAGCGTAATTAGGACGCACGTGTGGATCGATGCCCCACGATGGAGGATTACGTGGGTCGAGATCGCACGGTAAATGATCACGTGGTTCGAGGTCGCGGGCGCGAATGGAGGTCTCGTGGAAGAGGAGTGTTTGGGGAAGAGAGGCATGTGCGCGTAGCGCGGTAGGAGATATCGAGGCGTGCATTGGCGATCGACGCGGGATCGAGTTGAGAGTAGATCGGTATCATAGTTTTTTGTTAATCATTGTTGTGCAATAATAATAATAAAGATATTATTATTCATTCCTTTTTTTTTCTTCTAGGGCGTGCTAGATGTGGGGGCGCGGAGCGCACACGTGAGGGCTGCTGGGGCACAAGGGGTGCGCGTGTGGGCGGTTTCGGCGCGAGGCACGGGGCGCGCGCGCGCGGTAGGCGATCACGAAACCTTGGGATGAGATGCCCAACCTTCGGATGGGATAGCCCCCCACTTTAGGATGAAGCGATCACGAAACCTTGGGATGAGATGCCCAACCTTCGGATGGGATAGTCCCCCACTTTAGGATGAGGCGTTCGAGACTTATGGTCTGAGGTGGATACGCACTGTTGTGCCATTGCTTTAGTGGCAGCACGAGTTGAAACTTTCGCGGTCGTACGCTGAAGGTCATCATCGGTTATCTGAACTGTTAGAGGAGCAAGTAGAAGTTTATCTTGTTGAAGCTTCGGCGATCATACGTTGAAGGTCCTCTTCGGTTACCTGAACCGTTCGAGGGGGGGCGGAGGTAGTCCCGCAGGGAGTTGATAACCCTTGGCGAACGAAATATTTTGGGGCCACTATAAACCCCAGGGAGTCGATAACGCTTGGCGAACGAAATGTTTTGGGGGCACTATAAACCCCCAGGGAGTCGATAACCCTTGGCGAACGAAATATTTTGGGGGCAGAGGTAAGCCCCCAGGGAGTCGGTAACACTTGGCGAGCGAAATGTTTATGGGGAACAGTAAACTCCGAGGGAGTCGATAACCCTTGGCAAAAGAAATATTTTGGGGGCAGAGGTAAGCTCCCAGGGAGTCGATAACCCTTGGCGAGCGAAATGTTTAGGGGGGACAGTAAACCTCCATGGAGTCGATAACCCTTGGCGAACGAAATATTTTGGGGGCAGAGGTAAGCCCCCAGGGAGTCTATAACCCTTGCTAGAGTTGAAGGGCCTCCTCGGTTGTCTGAACCGATCGAGGGGTGGGAAGAAATAAATCCTGTTAAGGATCTAGTAGGACATCCGAAGAAGGTCTCGTAGTGGATCCCAAGCACGAGGAGGAGGAAGTGGCAAGCCAGAGCCTGCACGAGGTGGGAGGTCGTTCGCAGTGTCACACTCCCCCTGGGCAAATGTCTCAAGGCCATTATGCGCGCTACATGATTATGTCTGCCTCCCCACAGACGGCGCCAAAATGATGATGCTAATTACTTAGACCACCTGGGGTAGTGTAGAAAACGAGCTGGGAGAGGAAAGCGGATTAGTAGCTTAGCAAATTGATCGATGATCCTGAGGTCCCTACGAAATAAACACACGTGAACTAAGCTGGGGGTTGATCCGGCGGAAACCCCTCCGACGCTCAAGTCAGATGTACGGATAGTGGAAATGGTAGAGAGAATATGCACTCTAGAATACTTGTGAATAATAGAACGTACCTTAACAAATGAGTAAAAAACTCTATTTATATGTCGTTGATTGGGTTGGGTTTACTTAATTGGCCCCAAGCCTTATTTTGAAGGTGATTGGGCTTTCGTGTAGTGGGCCCAATTATTAGACAAATTAGGGGGCTCATTGGATCGACCCAATTAGCGCGTCAGCCGCCCTACGTGCAGTAGCCGAGCCGCTGCTCCCCTCGGTTGGCGCGCGAGCCGGCTTCTTCCTCTCTTCTCCACGGCTTCTTTTGGTATGGTGGGTATGGAACACGAGAAGCTTATAGTATCAGATGCGGAAATCAGATCTTCGTCGGCTATTGTGCGGATCGAAGGGAGAAGTATGGTGGGTATTAACCTTGGCTCAGCAGGACAAGCCGTTTCCACTGCCGGCTTGTATCATCGATCAATTTGCTAAGCTACTGATCCGCTTTGCCCTCTCAGCTCGTTTTCTACACTACCCTAGGTGGTCTAAGTAATTAGCATCATCAATGTGGTTATCCACATTGTAGAAAAAGTGGGCAAAAATATTTATGCTACGTACATTGAAATTTGAGTAGTTAGGTCATATGTAAGATTTTCAACGATTTTCAAAGATTTTCAACGATTTTTCTTTTTGAACAATTAAGTACATAAGTTTATCTTATTCAAGAAATTACTTGTCACGAATTGGTCGAATATTCAAAAAGAAAATGAAATAAAGGCTTATGACTTTGATAACATAATTGACTTATTAAGTCATTAAGTAAAGCTAGCCAACTAGTCATGAGTTGTTACAACTCACATCATGTATTCTAGATTATTACAAGGTTTTGTACTAATTTTTTTTTTCGTTTTCTTTTTATTTAATTTTCTATTTTCTCAATGTTCATTTTGTTCACACAATCAGAATATTGAAAGTTATATTAATTTTTTTGGAGACAATTGTTTAATATACATAATTTGTCGTGTTTCCAAAAATCAAACTCTACCTAATTATGTGAAAATATGTTAGTTTTATTAATTCGGACAACAATTCGTATTTCGTAACAATATTTAAGGACTTGATATTTTAATTTTACTTTTTGCTTCCATATTAGTTATATGTCAAAATATGTCATTATTATTTATAAATACTAGTAACTTGACCCGTGCGATGCACGGGATTGAACAAACAAACATAACAATCATTAAAAAAAATAGAAATAAAAACTATATATTGAATATTTTACTGGAAAATCTAATAAAACTCTATCCACCAAAGAATTAATCCGGCCACCAACAGAGTAGTTGTTTTCAACTCTTGAGCATATGTTACCTGCACCGTAGGACAAAATGAAAGAAAAAAGAATTTTTTTATAAATTGAAAATAAATGTTACAAAGCTCATTTATAAAACTTTGAAGACAAAAAATCCATATATAAATTTAACCAAATATATAAATAACTTACTTAGTTCAGATTTTGGAAAACTTCTTTATAAACTACGTTTGTAGTAGTATTAATTTGAGGTGTTCCCGTCGTTGTTACAAATAAGTATCTTCAAGCCTCTTCGACTCGTAACTCTTGAGATAACAACATATAATTGTCCATGTGAAAACACTGGTTTCTGAAGATATATACCCACGTGTTGAAGAGATTGGCCTTGACTTTTATTTACCGTCATTGCAAACGAAAGAGTGAAAGGAAATTGTCGACGCTGGAATTTAAAAGGAATCCTTGTATCGGATGGCGTTAGAGTCAATCGTGGAATAAACACCTTATGACCAACGTTGGTTCCTGATATAATTTTCGCTTCCAAAACTCGATTTCCTAATCTTGTGATTGACAGTCGGGTGCCATTGCACAAAACTGAAGATTGGTCTATATTTCTCAACAACATGACCGGAACACCTTCTTCTAGTTTTAATTCGTGATTTGGAAGACCAGAAGAATTAACGGTATTCAAAAACTCGGGCGTATGAATATCATCAGGTCTGTCAATGCTTCCGTTTGCTGAACATGTACTATCAAAACTGAGATATGTCTTTATTTCCTTAGGAACCAACGATAGCATGTAATCGTTTACCACGTCAACAATCTCATTTGTCGGAGCCAGTATGGCCCCGTGTTGCAAATAACTGATATCATCCATATTCTCTAAAAATAATGGGTATGTCTCATTTACAATTAAAGCAAGTGGATCAGCTGACTCTTTTATGAGTAAGTCATCGAGGATTTCAATGTTGACCACCCCGTCATTGGGATCACCTATGGTGCCATCCCCAATACTTAATATTTCGGGAACTGATTTCTATTTGGAATAGAATTTCCTTATCAATCAAAGCATTAATTTCTGCAGGACATCCGTAATTATGGTTTCCCTACGAAAAAATAAAATGGTTATTAGCCTAATGTGGATTTAAATGTACATAACTTATTACATCAACAATACCTTGTTTGATGCACCACCTAGGAGTTCTGAAGCACTTTTTACAATTAATTGCATGACAATACGATCAAACATTACGAATGAAGTCGATCCAGTACTATCAATGGCACTCACTTGAACTCTGAACATGTTCAAAAATATATATTTTATATACAAATTTCGAATACCAAGAGGAATGATGGTTTTCGTAAAATATTACCAAATCAAAGTATAATTACATTGGTACAGCAGGAACAAACCCGTCACACTCTTCGTACCAATATTTCTTTGAGACAGGTTCGACCTTCCTCACACAATTTTTACATGAAGCATACCACCAATTAGCTGTCGACTCGATTTCCAGAATTTTCGCCAGTACGGATCCAACACACACCTACAACTATGGTACCAGCTTCAGTTGCGCCTCTTTTTCCCACAT